TAGGCATAACGCGCGAACGTGTAAGAAAGAGGTAGAATTAGTTTCTAAATAATATTACAGGCTATACTATAGTTTATAGCACTAATTTAGGTTGTTTTGGGCCATAATGGGGTGGAGTTTGGTGGGGGCTTGGCAAAAGTGGGCGACTCGCCTGTGTGGGCGACTCGCCCGTGGAGTACGTTACTTCTCTTAAATTAGAGTTAATTATAACTAAAGCTCTAGGGTATTGCTAGAGGTTTGCAACTACTAGAGCTTATTATTATTAGGGAGTTATAGTAAAAGAGTGCGTAGCTTTATATTAAGCCCTATTATAACCTATATTAGGTTAAAGGGGACTACTCTAGCGCCTTAGAACCCTCCTTAGATATTACTTAAGGTAAATATAGCATTATAGGCTACTTTAAAGTATAGTAGGAACTTAAGCTTTATAATGTTATTAATCTAGTTAACCTGTTTTATCAGTGAGCGCCCCACCTCAGTGAGCGCCCCACGAACACCAGCGAGGCGTACGCGCAGCGACGTAGCTTAGCACCACAACACAAATTTTGTACTCTTGCAACAGTATAGTATTATTTAGAAGCGTTGCTGTTATTTATATCCTTAATTTCTACCTTGCAGGTGCAAGAGTTGTGCCTAATCTCACTGCAATAGCTGTAGCGTCGCCCTGCGCGCACCCTCTTCGCCAGCTCCTTACCCTCCTCACATCTGCCACCCTCTCTTTTAGTAATTAAGTCTAATACCTTGCTAACTATTAATATCTCCTCTGCCTGTATGTAGCGTCTTGTGTGACTTTTACACTTTGTTGCTACTTTAGTAGTAGTATTAAGGCGCACTATCTCTGCGCGTATTAACACTATCTTATAAGCTATCTGCTGTGCGCCTTTTGTTAGCTGCTGCACCTGCTTATTAAGTAAACTTGCTAGAGACCCTTAATAGATTTTTATCCTATTTTAAACTAGTGTTAATTGCGCCTCTATTTCTTTAGCGTTGCGTGGTGTTTTCGCCTCCTAAGCAGCGTTAACTTGCTGTGGTGGAGTTTGCGTACGCAGCTGCACATCCAGCTTTAATAACACAGCCTGTGGATTATGTGGAGACAATCTAGCGCCTTAAAACCCTGCGCAAGCATTCTCTCTTGTAAACACCTTCTTAAAAGCTACTTTAAAGGCTAGTAAGAAGGTCTGTTTGCTGATGTAGTTAATGCAATCACGTGCTAAGGCTGAGATCTGATCACTGTACGCGCGCTTTAATAGCAAGAAACAGGTGACGTCAAGCAGCTGCAGGAGGTGTAATAAGTGTAGAGGCATACAGAGGGCAATAATCTTCTTCTCCTTGCTGCGATCCTAGAAATCTATTAAGCAATAGCTCTTATAGCTGTTAATAATCAGCAGCCTATACGCTCCTACAGGCCTTGCATGCGTATTAAAGTAATCAAGCTAGGCAAGCGCTAGATTGTTGTTTGTCTAGCCTATTAGGCTTACTTAAATAACCTAATTGCGTAGGAGGTCCTTAGTAAACTAGTTAGAGATAAGAACCTTGCTAGTAAAGATAAGGAAGGGTGGGATAACACGCCCTGTTACGCTGACGCCCTATATTAACATAGTCTACTTGCAATTACTAGGCTAAAGCTTCTTTGCTTTCCTAGGTTTCTCTATGCCTGTTATAATAAGTTATAAAGATATCTTGCCTATTAGGAAGCTAGACTTATTAAAGTTATACATATTATTGTCTACAATACTATACTTCGCCTTTATGTTCTAAACTAGCGTGAACTAGGGCTTAATAATCGCTAGGTCTTCGCAGAGAGCTCGCTAGTGATTGTATGGACGAGTCTAGCGCGTGCGTAGCTTAGGTGTACGCTTAATAAACCTGTCAACCTAGCATTTACTAACAGGCTCACCGCCGCGGTCGCGCAGCAGTCTATCAGCCATATCTTGTACGTGTAGCTTTAAGGGCGGTACTCTACATAGGTTCTTGTCAAGTATACGCTGCAGAATTACCTCCTCTTCTAGCTTTGTTAGGCGCTTTAATCTAGGCTTACAGTCGCGTCTAGAGGGCTTCCTGTCACGTTATTATTGTATTATCCTACAAGGAACACTGTAGACTGCCTCAGCACGTCACAGGCTTGTAATCTAGTTGCATTTAATGTTAGAGAGGGCAAGCTGCACGTTAGCTTTAGTATAGGGCTTGTGAGGTTGTGGTTGTTGAGACATTACGCGTTGAGTGTCGCGCATGCGCTTTGCTGGTGTTCGTGGGGCGCTCACTGAGGTGGGGCGCTCACTGATAAAACAGGTTATACATAAGGTCTTTAGCTTAGCACCTAAATGCCTTCTTTAGAGGGGCAAAACTGCCTATATTAAGTGGCTGTAGGAGGTGTAATAAGTGCAGAGGCATATATATAGTAATAATCTTATTATCCTTGCAGTAACGTACTCCACAAGCGAGCCGGTCACCCAAGCGAGCCGGTCACTTTTGCCAAGACCACACCAACACTGTAACTACTTTGCAATATTACAGCACACAACAACTATATATCACACTATATAGTATATTAGACTAGTCTATAGTACTCTATACATCTTTACTACATGTCTGCGTATTATACCCTATCTTGCTACATATACTACAGCGTCTTAAAGACTAAGTGCTCCTATTAGCTTATACTCTCTTCTTTACCTTCTTCCTATTACTACAGGCCTTTAACTCCTTTAGAGTAGTTAGCTGCACTCCCTTACTAAATATTAGTGTCCCTTTATACTAAATTTACTTTCGTTTAACGTAATCGGCCATTGAGTCGGCCAGGCAATTGAGCCGGCCACCTTATGCAGCCACCCACCTTGACACGCAGATAACTCAACACCACAACGTCGTGCTGTGGCTCACAGTACGTCAAATTAATCCACTCTGTCTACAGTATCTTGCTTACATGTGCGCTTATTGTGCCCAGCCTAACCACACCTCCCACAGCGTTGAGAACCCTCTCTACTACCACCTGTTCGCACCCTCTCCTCACGCCTCTCTGCCTCTGCCTGCACCACCACCTCTTATGCAGCTATTATTTCCTCTGCCTCTTGCTGTGATAGGGTTCCTCTATACTAGATCTGCTTCCTTTTACGTGCTTTATACTTAGAAGCAGCTTTATTTGCTACTTAAAGCTTAACTATCTCAGCCGCTATAAGCACCTAGGAATGCACCATTATATCAGCTCCCTTTTTAAACTGCTGCACCATCTTAATAATTAAAGCTAGAGATAAACTGTGGTGCTGCCTAATCTAGTTAGATATCAGCGTTGATTGAGCTAATATTTCAGCAGCGTTGCTTAGTGTTCTAGGTTGCTAGGTAGTAGGCCCTGGTAAAGGTGGTGTTGGCGTACAAGGCTTCACTTTAAGCTTTAATAGCACCACCTCTAGGTTGTCTAGAACTAAGCCTGTTGCTTAGAAGCTTAATTAGATATTATTAGATAAAAACACCTTATTAAACACCTAATTAAAGGCAGCTAAGAATACTTTCTTGTTAATGTAAGTAACGTAGCTGTTTACTAAGACATTAATTTCTGTCTTATATGCTCGTTTTAATGGGGCAAAACAGCCCACATCAAGTGGCTGTAGGATATAGGAGGTGTAAGGAGGCATACAGAGAGTAATAATTTTGTTCTCCTCACACAGATCCTGGAAGGCAAGCGACTTGTGGCTCTTATGGCCATTAATAATCAGCAGCTGGTGGCTACCCACTGTCTGGGCTGTTGTATGCTGGATGAAGTGCTTCAGCCACTCTAGGCCTAGTTCATTTGTTGTCCAGCCATTCTTGCTAACACCAATACGCTAATCCTTTAGGTTGTGATACTAGGCTTAGTCGTAGTTCTTTGCTTTGAAGATAATAAAGGGCAGGATAACCTACCCTATAGCATTAATTGCAGCAATTAATATTACCTATTCACAGTTGCTAGGCTAGACTCTAAGTAGCTTAAGACACCTCTTAGACGCTGTCACTACCTTAACAGACCCTCTAACACCTATCTAGAAGCTAGTCTTGTTAAAGTTGTAGGTATCTTAGTCCTAGATGCTATATTTAGCTTTGCCGTTGCGCACAAGGTTGAACCAGGGGCTGATAATAGCTAGATCACTGCACAAGACTCTCTAGTGATCGCGCTGTCTAGTTACCTAAGACTTGATCTTAGGCTTCTAGTTTACAAGGTGCCTGGCCCATTTTTCTCTAACCTTACTACTACTATAGGCAGCTAGTAGTTAATTGGCTATTTCACGTACGTAGCTTAGCGTAGGGGCAAAGCCTCGCGCGTCAAGCTTCCTTATGTATTGTATAACCACCTCCTCTTTAGGCTTAGTAAGCCTT